AGGACAGGGACACACAAGCCCCTTAAGAAAAAACTTCACATTGACGTGAAGTTTCAAGGGGTTCCCCTATCAATGGAGTTAGACACAGGGTCCGCTCTATCAATCATTTCACTTGACACCTTCAAAAGGATTTGTAGCAGTAGTGGCCTTCAAGTCAAACCCAGGCCCTCAAATTTAATCCTCACTGACTTCCAGAATTCCAAAGTCAGTGTCAAGGGGGAGGCTACGCTAAAAGTGCAGCGTAAGGCTTTTGAGGGTTTTCTAGATGTGGTGGTAGTTGGGGTGAATGCACAAGTCTTATTGGACTCGACTGATTTGAGGCCCTTGGAATTCAAGTGACTGGGCTGCACAGCGTGCAAACGTTGGGCCTTGCAGAAGTCTGTAAGGAGTTTGCTGAAGTGTTTACTCAGAGCTTGGATCCTACAAGGGGCCTCCCATTGCATTACGTTTAGACCCAATTATCACGCCTATCAGGATCAAGCCCAGAAGGGTGCTTTTTGTCCTTAAAAGCAAGATAGATGCAGAGTTGGACAAGCTGCTCCAGCAGGGCATCTTAGAGCCTGTGGAATCTAGTCCATGGAAAACCCCCATCGTTAAGCCTTTAAAGGCTAATGGAGAAGTCCGCATATGCACAGACTATAAGTGTACACTGAATAAAGCGTTGCAACAGCACGCATATCCAGTGCCTGTGGTGAGCCACATTCTGGCCTCCCTCAAGGGGGGGCGCCTTTTTGCAAAACTTGATTTGGCACAGGCCTATCAACAGTTACCTGTTGATGAGGCAACTGCAGAGGCCCAAACTTGTAACACATAGAGGGGCCTTTAAGGTTAAAAGACTGCAGCTTGGTGTGAATGTAGTCCCTGGCATATTTCAAAGTCTCATGAAATGCACACTTGGTGGTATTCCTGAGGTCTGTCCCTACTTCGATGATGTCCTCATTGCTAGGGAGTCATCTCAAAATCTAGCAGAAAGATTAAGGGTTGTTTTGTTGCGTTTCCGCCAAGCAGGCTTTAAATTAAAGCAGGATAAATGCAAAATAGGAGTCATTTCTACTGACTTCTTAGGCTTCAAGATTGATGCTCAAGGCATCCACCTTGCTGAATCTAAGCATCAAGCAATTCAGCAGGCCCCAAGGCCCACATCCAAGAGTGAGCTGCAAGCTTTCTTGGGGATCTTAAATTTTTACCATGCATTTCTCCCACATAAGGCTGCAGTGGCAGAGCCGTTACACCGGCTCTTAGACAAGCAGGCTCCATGGCAGTGGACTAAAGTCCATGACAGGAGTTTCAATGAGGTTAAGGCCTTGCTATCTTCAAATGCTGTATTAGTGCACTTCAATGAGCAATAACCTGTGTGCATCACATGCGATGCATCTCCTTATGGGGTGGGAGCAGTACTTAGTCACCTGAAGGCTGATGGGACACAAGTCCCTGTAGCCTACTATTCAAGGACTCTGTCATCTGCAGAGCGGAATTACACTCAGATTGACAGAGAAGCCTTGGCTATAGTGGCTGACATAAAGAAATTCCATAATTTCTTATATGGCTGCCACTTCATGGTCTACACAGACCATAAACCTCTGCTGGGTTTGTTTACTACCAACAAACAGACACCACACGTTATTTCTCCAGGTATGCTGAGATGGTCAATCTTCCTGTCAGCATACGATTATACACTCATTCACAAACCGGGAAAAGAGATGGGTCATGCAGATGGCCTCAGCAGATTAGCTCTCAAACAAATAGAGACAGATCCTGCTCCTGCTCTTAATATTCTGTCCATTCAGGAGTTGCCTGAATCTCCCCTCAATGCTAGTGGCTGCAGAAACTGCCATAGATCACACGCTCACACACGTGCTAACATGGGTCTTGTCAGGATGGCCTGACACGTGTCCAGATGCTGCATTTCAAGGCTTCTGGCAAAGAAGGCATGAACTGTCTACATTCAAGGGGTGCCTGCTATGGGGTAGTAGAGTAGTTATCCCAGCCTCACTGAGGTCTAGAGTCTTGTCCTCTCTGCATGAGGGACATCCAGGCATTGTGCGCATGAAAGCGCTTGCACACAGCTATCTTTGGTGGTGAGGCTTGATAAAGCTATCGAGGCCCAGGTGCACAGGTACCAGGCGTGCCAACAATCATGGCCTGAAATGCATCAGGCCCCTGTACACAGGTGGGAGGAGACACAAACCCCTTGGTCAAGGGTACATTTAGATTATGCTGGGCCCTTTCAGGGGCAATTCTTCCTTATCCTGATGGATAGCCATTCCAAATGGCTAGAAGTTGTACCTGTCTCCTCAACTACTACTGCCAGGACCATCCAGGTGCTGAGAGGAATCTTCACTACCTATGGCCTCCCGGATGTCCTCGTTTCCAAAAGCTGCCCAGGACCAGACTGGTTTGTGCTGGCTTTGCGCACATGCACAAGGCGCGAACAAAGGAGATTTATGATAGGCTGTTTGGAAAATTATAAAAGGCCTGAAAGCCTGTTGGGTTACTGAGTGGTAACGTGGAATGAATAAAGAAGAACTTGGTTACAATGTGAGTGTGTGTCACTTCAATGCCGCGAACCCCAAGATATAAAAGTGGCAATGTGGCCTTCTTTGCCACATGCCCGGCACGTTGCTGTATGGAACCTGAGTCTATGTCAGCTTTCACAGCCCACACATCGAGTGAAGGGAACTGCCTTGTCAAATAGCTGCTGGGCTCTTTCTGGTGACTTCTGCAGCTGATTGATCTCATGGTCTGTGTCGGGGTCCTCGACTCTTTCAGCGTCCTTGTGGTGGACGATTTCTGTGCTGGGAGTGTTCTTGGAGAGTTGTAAGGCTTTTATGGCTCCCCTGGCAGCTTCGGCCATAATTTCCTTCAGGGCATCTTGGAACATCAAGGTCTCCTTCACAAACAACTTCTGCTGAAGATCCCTGTTTCTCAACCCACATACCAAACAGTCTCTCAGTCTCTCTTTGAGGTCTGTGAAATTGCAGAGCTGGGACTGTCATAGGGCAGCTATGAACTTGGCAGCAGACTCGCCTGGTTGCTGCTCCCTTTGTTCAAAAGCGTGTCTCCAGGCAATAACAGAGAGCTTTTAGTTTGAAATGTTCTTGAACATTTTCTTGAGCTTGGAGTAAGTGACCGATTCAAGCGTAGCTGGGGCAACTAGGTTTTCAGCTATATCAAACGTTGCCCGGCCACATATGCACAGCAACGTTGCTGTCTTTAAGCCATCTTCACTAACTTGGTTAGCCCTCAGATAATTCTTAACTTGAGAAATGACCTCCAAGGTCCCTTCCAACTTTATCATTATTATTATCATTATAAATGTATGAACTCCACCTCTCGGGATGCGACACATCGAATTTTGACAGTTTTCCGAGCTTGGCCATGGTGAGTTGTCAACGACCTCTCAACGCCTTATGCTGCTAAGGTTTCTGTGTTGGTCCTAGGGACGGGTCCCTCAGGACATGGGCCTCCAGTGTTGCTTGCTGGCAGCCAGAGGGGGGAACGTGGTTCCTACCAGGATGCTGAGGCCTGGTCTCACCCCTAGTGATTTCTGGCTCTTTCTCCCTTAGCAGCACATCCCATCCTCGTCGCCACTGTTATGTTTCAGGATGGGTGAGGCATTGACGAGGCAATTGGTGCAAACAACAACCCATTTATTAAGTTAACACAGAAGCAGCACTAACTGCCCCTTAACCTCTATTTATACAGATCACCCGCTAGGCAGCGGCCAATAGAATTAAAGCAGTATTTTTCACTTAAACACAAGCTAACAAGTATGTAGACAGACAGTCTGGAGTTTAAACAGATGCAGCCATTTGACCATTTCCAATAGTTTCCAAGTAGTTCACATCAATACATAACACGTACCTTATGTGTTCTATCTAGGCCTCCCCCCCAACTCAAACTAAATGCCATGGCAGGATTAATATAATTCAATCACTGTGCCCTGTTGATAATGTGCTGTACCAATGAGGCAAAAATCCTAAATCACTGCCTTGGGATTTCATTGGCAACTCAATATATTATTATTATTATTATTATTATTATTATTATTATTATTATTATTATTATTATTATTATTATGGATCATCGCACAGTCAGCCAGATGTTCAGACTGGATTTGGCATTTTGTCTACCTATCGAGTCCTTACCCAGGACCTGGATAGGCAGAGGTGGATGTTTGATGGTATTACAGATATCGTCGCAGGATGGAAGCAGTTCCTAGTAAGGCCGCCTTTTGCAATTGACTAATAGCGAATTTGTCAATGCCAATTGTGTTCAAGTGGTGCTCCAGTTGTTTTGGGATTGCACCCAAGGAGCCTATGAATATTGGTACTACCCTTGCTTGCTTTTGCCACAGTCTTTCTATTTCTATTTGTAGGTCTTTGTATTTTGTTATCTTCTCCAGTTCTTTCTCTTCTATTCGGCTATCTCCAGGCACTGCCACATCCACTATCCAGACTTTTTTGTCTTTCTTATCGACAATTGTTAAGTCTGGGGTGTTATGTTGCAGGTGCTGGTCTGTTTGAATTCTGAAGTCCCAGAGCAGGTTAATTTTATCATTTTCTATGACTTTCTCTATTTTATGATCCCACCAGTTTTTGCTTACAGGCAAATGATATTTTTTTGCAGATCTTCCAATGCACCATTGTTGCTACTTTGTCATGCCGCTGCTTGTAATCAGTCTGTGCAATCTTCTTGCAACAGCTTACCAAGTGGTCCACTGTTTCTTCAGCTTCTTTGCATAAGCGGCACTTACTATCTGTTGCTGTCTTCTCAATTTTGACTTATTATTATTATTATTATTATTATTATTATTATTATTATTATTATTATTATTATTATTATTACTATTACTATTATTACTATTATTTCATCTCAAGAGTTTAATCGGAATATACACAAAAATAAGATATGCCTCCATAGAGGTAACAAATTGGTTGTTCAACTAGCCTTCCCAGGCTCCAGCAAATAACATTACCATCTGTAATCATTTTGATTCTTCCAGACTCTACAAAACATTTATGATGCACACAGGATGGTCTGAATGATCATCATCTACTGTCAACTCAAGCTGCACTCTCTTTCAGTGGTTAAAACGAAAGGGCTTTGATCCATAAGTAATATTATCTTTAAGTATTGGATGTGATATAGGCATGGGAACTTTGCACCATTTTCTCCCCTTCTTGCAAATGGGTCTCACAGACTCGATAGGATATCTGGTATGGTACCTGTTGAGGAGTTGCTTAGGTTTGGGAACAACACCTTCAGGAAATTTAGGTTTATGATCTGGCAGCAAACCTGCTCGGTGAGCCATTTGCATGCACACTGTAATGTTTTTGTGCTCTTCTTTACAAAGGCCTGTGATGTTACGAGGTATCATCCTTCCTGTAGAGTTTATGAACTGACTTAGCAGTAAGACATCCATATAATCGTACTTGTGTTTCAAGTTCCAGCGACAAATAGGACAGTTACCAAAAGGATTTGGAGGGGTTGGGCTTTTGACATCTTCTATAATTTTGCCTTCAATCATTGTGGTGTTCCCTTCAGTAGTTTCTACAATCTGCCGGAGTCTGCGAAATGGAGCCCGGGTCCAGGCACTTCCCAAGAAGCGAGGCAGAAGCGCTGTAAATCGAGAGAGCAGCCCCACCGTGGGAGCCGCCATCTTTGAAGTGCAACTCAATATATTATTGATTCTAAATCATTTGTAATACTTGTAATACTTGGAGAAGATCTCCATGCTAGGTTGAGCTCCAATAACCACACTTTATAAACACCCCTCCATAACCTGAGGCTGATGGATTCAGCTTCACCCATTTTTCAAAAGATGAGAAATCAAACTTTGTGGATTTATGCTTGATTCAAACAACTTTCAGGCTGCTGAATGTTCTAAAGGGACCAGCCAGCTGAATTCATCTACAGTACCTATTTGGGCCCATAAAGTTTTTTACTAATTGTCTCTAGGGACTTACTCTTAGGACTTAATGTGTTAAGATTGTTGAAGTTACTCCTAAATGTGAAAGCAGTCACTTCCCAATCTTACTGGACACACAGAAACACAGAACAGTTGCTTATCTGATGTTCACACTATAGAAACATTTGCATTAATTTAATTTTACCACTAATACATCAATACCAAAGATCCACAGAATACATTTACACCACTTTATTGTTTTCAGGTACAAATCCAACTACAATATACAACCTTGCCACATTCTGTGTGGTACTGCTCAAATTTGTTGGATGATGATTTCTGGTATGTTCTTGGAGTTCAACATTATAGATTAGATTCAAAGTGCACCTAATTTGCCATATTAGAGTGCTCTGTAACCTAGTAAATGCAATAATTATCTATAAATACTATATGCTCACTTACATCCTGCTAATGTTCCCACCCTACCTTTTTTACTTTTTATATCATCTTTACTTTTTATATTGTGTGTTTACAAACTGTTTAGAGCTTTTTATTTTTTGTTTTTACTTTCATGTTTCTTTTAATAATTTTATCCAACCCTCCTTGATTGCAATAAAGGTTGATTGACTGATAGCTTCTCTTTTTTTATTATAAATTTTTACAATTTTACAATAAAAACGCCTTCCCCAATCCCTCCCAACCCACCCTAAAACCCTCCCCCATTCTTCCCAGAGCTGAATACAGGGTTAACTATAACTTATAAGAAAAAACTTTTAAACCCAAATAAACCTCAAGCAAGTATAATCACATTCAGTAAACAAATTATTAAATACTTTAACTCCATTATATATAAAAAAACAGAAAGAGAAAAAGAAGAAAATAATAATAATAAATAATAATAATAATAATAAAAACAAAAACAAAACTATTCTACACTCTTAAATAATATCTTAAACTTTAAATATAAATTATTCAAAAGCTAAATGATATTTTCTTACATCATACTTATATTGTATAAAATTTATCCATCTTTTCCACACCAAGAGATACTTCTCTTGCGATTGATCTTTCAAATAAGCCGAAATTTTTGCCATTTCAGCTAAATAAGAAACTTTAAAAAACCATTCCTGCAAAGTAGGCAAAGATTCCTTCTTCCAATATTGCCCTATTAACAACCTTGCTGCTGTAATTAAATTTAACATTAAAATAATCTCTTTGTCATTACAATCAGAAACAATACCCAACAAAAACAGTTGTGGGGTAAATTTTATCCTTCTTTTAAAAATTCTTCGAATATTCCACCATATCTTAATCCAAAAGGCTTTTATACTTTTACATGACCACCAGATATGATAATACGTTGCGTCCAAGCAACCACATCTCCAACATTTAGGCTGCAAATTTGAATACATACGAGACATTTTTTGTGGGTCAAGGTGCCATCTATAAAACATTTTATAAAAATTTTCCCGTAAGTTTTGCGCTTGTGTAAATTTGACATTCCTCCCCCAAATAATCTCCCATGTATCTAATAAAATCGGTTCATCAAAATTTTGAGCCCATTTAACCATACAATCTTTAACTAATTCTGTTTCTGAATCCAATTCCACTAATACACCATAAATTCTTTTAATGTGGGTTCAGCTTTGATCTCTAATTTGTTTTAGCAAATTCTCATCCTCTCTAAGCAAACCCACTTTATAATCTATCTTCCACCTTTCCAATAATTGTCTGTACTGAAACCATGAATAATTAATATTTTCTTGTGCTAATTCATCTATGGATTTTAATTGCCAATTTTTACCATCCCACTTAAGTAATTGTGTATAAGAAATACTATCCATCTTAACTCCCTTCCGTATTCCTTCTATTGCATGCCATGGAACAGCCCATAATGGAATTCTTGAATCAATTTTATAATATTTCTTCCAAACCCGAAGTAAAGAAATTCTTAAAATATGATACTTAAAAACCCTATCAACTTTTTTATTATAAATTAAATAGGCATGCCATCCATATAATAAATCCCAGCCCTCCAAAAGGAGTATATCTACATTTGTTAAATTGACCCAATCACTAATTAATGTCAAATTCGGTACCTTGAGTCCACTTCTCTCTCGTATATCTTGTATAATTTTAAGTTTTACTCTTGGTTTTTTTCCCTGCCCAGATAAATTTATTGATGCCTTTCTGCCATTCATCTAAATTTGCTTCTTTTTTTAAAATAGGTATCATTTGAAATAAAAAAAGAAACTTTGGCAAGACATTCATTTTAATCGCTGCTATTCTCCCCAATAGAGACAATTGCAGCTTTTTCCAATTCTCTAAATCCTTTTGTATTTTAAACCACAGCCTTTCATAATTATTTTTATACAGTTTTGCATTGGAAGCAGATTATATAACCCCCAAATATTTTACCTTATTAACAACCTCAAAACCTGTCAATCTAACTAAAATCTCCTTATCCAGATTGGTCATATTTTTTGACAATATTTTAGTATTATTATTGATCTTAAAACCTGAAACTTGTCCAAACTGATTTATCAATTGTAACAACTCCATTACAGAATAAATTGGTTGGGACAAAATAACAACCAAATCATCTGCAAAGGCCCTTAATTTATAATCATTTTTATTAATTTCTATTCCTTTTATATTAGGTGATTCACGAATTTTGATCAGCAAAATTTCCAATGTTAAAACAAACAACAAAGGCGACAATGGACAACCCTGTCTAGTCCTCTTTTCAATTGGAAATACCTCTGATAAACCTCCATTAACTATAAGTTGCGCCATTTGTTTTTGGTAAATGGCTCAAAGAGCCTGTAAAATTCTATCTCCAAAATTCATTTCCTCAACCAATCTTAACATAAATTGCCAATTTAACTAATCAAAAGCTTTTTCAGCATCTAAAAATATCAATCCTGCAGAAATCTGGTTGTTCTTATCCAAATATTCTATTAAATTAATAATTTGTCTAACGTTATTTTTCATATATCTTCCAGTTATAAAACCAGTTTGATCCATATGTATCAATTGATTCAACACAGTCATAAGTCTATTAGCTAAGATTTTTGAAAAAATCTTATAATCTACATTCAAAAGAGATATAAGTCTATAATTTTTTGGTAAAGTAAGATCTTGATCCTCTTTTGGAATCAAAGATATAAAAGCTCTACCCCAAGATGGGGGAGTCTCTAATCCCTGTAGTATATTATTGAAAAGTTCCCTTAAAGGTTCTATCATCTCATCTATCAAAGTCTTATAATAAATTGATGTCAATCCATCAGTGCCCGGTGCTTTGCCTACTTTTAATTGTTTAATTGCTGTAACAATTTCCTCTATAGTAACCAATCCATTAATTTCTTGTTTCTGATCTTCTGTTAACTTAGGAAAGTGAGCATCTTGTAAATATTTATCTATATCTAAAGCCTGTACTTTCCTACCCATATATAATTTTGTATAATAATCTAAAAAGGATTTCTTAATCAATTCCTTCTAATATACCAATTTACCATTATGATTTATTTTATCTATAATTCTCAACTTCTGTTTTTTTCGCAATTGATAAGCCAGCCATCTCCCTGGCTTGTTAGCGTTACAAAATGTATTATGTTTCATATAAAGTAAATTGGTTGCAGTCTGATCCGCCATTAACATATTGAATTGCGATTTAAGCAATTTTATAGATTCCTTAACCTTCTCATCTGTAGGATTCAAAATTAAAACTTTTTCTTTTAATTTAATCTCATCTTCCAACTCCTTACGTTTTTGCACCTGTTTCTGTCTATAAGCTTTGTTCATTTGTATCAAAACCCCATGCATATAAGCTTTACTTGCATCCCATACCATTGCCATTGAAGTTCCCTTATGCATATTTAAAACAAAATATTCCTTTAAATGCTCTTTAAGTTTCTGAACATTCATTTCTTGTCTAAATAAGTTTTCATTCAACCTCCAGGATCTCCTCTCCTCTTTTTCAGTAGCCAGTTCCATCCACACTGGACTGTGATCTGTCAATGTCCTTGGAAATATCTTTGCATTCTTTACCCTAAAATATAAATCAGTTGTAATAAAAAAAAGTCAATTGTTGAAAAAGATTGATGTCTATCCGAGAAAAAGGTGAAGTCTCTCTCTTCCATATTATGTTCTCGCCAATAATCTCGCAACTCCCAGTCCTCTTTCAAATCAAAAAAGGCCTTAGGTAATTTGGCCTGTTTAAAAGAAGTAGAAAATCCTTTTTTATCTCTATATGCATCTAAAACTCCATTCCAATCTCCCATTAATATAACAGATCTATAATCCAATAAAGTCAATTTTTGATGTAACAACCTATAAAACTGTTCCTGTTGTTGATTTGGTGCATACAAACCTACTATAAGTATTTTCTTGCCATACAATCCCACTTCAATCATTACATATCTCCCTTGAGGATCAGAATCTACTAAACAAACTGATAAATTTTGCTTAACATAGATAACTACACCCTCTTTTTTCCCAGGAGCACAGGATACAAAATGAGATCCCAATCGAGCATTAACTAAATATTTTTGATCCTTAGAAATAATATGCGTTTCCTGCAAACAAATAATATCATTATTATGTTGCTTCAGATAGTGAAATATTTTCTTTCTCTTTTGAGGGGAATTGAGGCCATTAACATTCCATGTCAGGAGCTTTACCATCTCCATCATCCAATAGCCTAGAGAAGACTGCTTGGAGATCTGCCATTGAGGATTGCACCGAAGATCTCTTAGGTCTTGCTCCTCCCACAGGCTCAGAAACAAATTCTTCTAAAACTTCTTTAACCTCTTTCTTCTGTTGTTCCTTTTCCTTACGTTTATGTGCAGCTCGAGTCATTCTCTGCTCTTTCATCTCAACTTGTTGAAACCACTCAGCCTGTGGTTTTCCAGCTTTCATCAATACAGCTTCTTCAGACTGCTGTTCTACCTCCTTCCCATCCAAAGCTTTAAACATTATAGATGGTGATGATGAGCGTGCTCCCAAAACCGAAGTATAAAACTCCTTTGCTTTAAAAACAGTATTAAGTCTATAAAGTGTCTCCACTGGCTCACCACTATTCCAATCGGAATATCCCATCTGAATGGCATCTGCCTCTTTTTAAGTTCATCTGCTAAAAAAGCAAACTCTTTTCTTCTTCTTAAAATTTTAGATGGGATCTCCTTTAAGATTATAACATCTTGTGCAGCAATCTGAAACCTCTTATTATAAAAAGCTTGTATGATTTCATTACATAGAGATCTTTTCCCAAAGTAAATTACCACATCTCTTGGCAGATTTCTTTGCTTTGCAATCCAAGAATTGACTCTGAATATTTTTTCAATTTCTCTAGATATTTCCTCTTTTTCTCTATCCAGAATCACAGCAAAATCATTTACTACCATCTCTCTCAAGTCTTGTTGCATATTCTCTCTCAGACCTCTAATTCTTAAAGCAAAT